GGAAGGAAGGAAGGAAGGAAGGAAGGAAGGAAGGAAGGAAGGAAGGAAGGAAGGAAGGAAGGAAGGAAGGAAGGAAAGGTCATTGAATTTCATTTCTTGGAAATGAGCGCTAGTGTTCTTCACATCATATTGCTATTAGCAGTATCAAAGATTGAGCTATGAAAATGGAAGAAGTGAAGGAGAATAAAATTTTTGACAGCTGATCTGTAATTCCTGTAAGATGTCAGGGCAAAAGGCATCAAGATTGATCAAATGATGTGCCAATTTCTTATATCAGCTGACACCTTGCCAACAGTTAAACAGTATTCAAAGTGTTTGTGTGCAGTAGAACCTATTCAGATTTAATTTACAAGTATAGGGTTTACAACTGAAACAGAGCTCCCACTCTGAAACATTTTCAGATAACTATTGATTTCCCTGCAATAATGTATTATGAAGCCAGCCAGAGAGAAAAGGTACATGCTAAAAAAAATTTTATCCATGATAGAAAATTTTGGGGGAAATGAAGTGCTCTGACTTAAAACTTGAGAGTGAAATGACAATTGTAGAATTATGTTAATCCCTTTTAATGAATTGTAGTAACAATAAATGGTGAAGGAAATAAGGTCTGGATGGAAAAGGAGTTATTGAGTTCGTTTGGGCAGAGTTAGCAAAGGAGACGTCTTATATTAGGCAGAACTTGGCAAGCATCTTATTCTATAAGTTCCTCTTAGACTTGCTAGGCTGATCAACCTTTTGCCTGTTGAGACCTTTTATGCAATATTTTCTGTTTGTGTATGAATCTTCTCTGAGCATGGAAGACCAACAGCAACAGAGGTAACCCATACATTCTTAGCATCCCTTCCCAGAACCATGAAGAAACCCAGTTGCTATTTCAACTACTGCACTACTACTCAGTTGCTGACTGCAGATGTTTACTGCTTTCCAACTGTAATTACAGGAGTGGGATGCTACCAGGTCTGCCCGGCTCTATAGAACCGGAAGTTCTGAAGAGCAGCAGACACTGAACCAGTTCTGTGTTTGCTGCTTCTTTGGCCCACCTGCCCGCCCAGGCTCTTACCTGTCCTTTATTTCCTGCTTTTTCAACCTCCGCTACTTTGCCTAGCACAGGTGAGGCTGAAAAAGCAGGAAAAAAGTGGCTTTTCAAATGCTATGCACCTGCGTGCTGTGCTTTTCAGGTCTCCAGGTGGCACAGCTTAAGATTTTTTTTACACATGCGTGCAGCAAAACGTAGTCACTGAACTGGTAATAACACCAGTTGAATCCCCCCACCCCTGTGTAATTATGTCACCCAGTGCAGGGATAACCAATATGATACCTTTTAAATGTCTTAAATCAGGGGTGTCCAACCTTGGCAACTTTAAGACTTGTGGACTTCAATTCCCAGAATCCCTCAGCCAGCTGAGGAATTCTGGGAGTTGAAGTCCACAAGTCTTAAAGTTGCCAAGGTTGGACACCCTTGTCTTAAATGGTAACTTTCATAATCTTCAGAAAATGTCTTTTAGCTGGATGCCAACCAAACTTTTTCTTTCTAAGAATCTCTAGAGGAGGATAGCTTTCCTGCTTCTGTTCTCTTACATCTTTTTAAAACTAGTGTGGTGGAGCTGATTGTTATGCAGCTATAGCTACAGTTACAGTGTTTTAAATAGGCTTTCCAGTGATGAGCATTCCAGAGTCCTTATCTATTCAAAGTGACGGAAGTAAGAAAGGTTTAAATGTATCATTTTCTCCCATTTCATTTCTTTCTCTTTCTCTTTCTCTTGAAGCAATTTCTCTCTCATTTTCTGTCAAGAGTCGCTCTGCACAAGATCTCAATCTGCAGCTACAAGAAATAGCGAGGAAGAAATTATGGGCCCTGGAAAATGACGATAAAGATGTTTGTGCTGTTTTCAAGGTAAAGTGGTGGTTGCTATTGTTTTCAAAGGAAACTGTATTTCTGTAACTTTTTGAAAAAACAAAACAGAACTGTGAATCAGATCTCCGGTCATCTGGCCATTAACGAAGTAACAGTTCCTCAGTATGATCTTTTGCTGATGAATGCCTAGAATACCTTTAATTGGAAATACTGAAGATTGAACTACAAGCAAAGCATATGTTGTTGTACAGCTGTATGGCATCTGCTCATAGTGTTTCTCATGGCTGCATAGCCCCACCAGAGGCTGGAACATTACCATCTCTATTTATTATTTATTGCTAAGTGGCATTGCGAGTGCAGTAAAATGTGGAGATCAAACCATCAACAAGCCTCTGACCTATAAAATCAAATGCTATGCGTAAACACACACACACACACACACACACACACACACACACACACACACACAGCCTTTTCCTCCTATCTCAAAATAATTTAAACATGATGTGTGATAGCTAGGCTAAAACTGCATTGGGCCCAAATTATAGTCATGTACTTCATGCCTGTGCAAATTTTAATCTAGATATTTGGACACAATTTAAATGCTGCAGAATGTTTTAGGATGATTTTATCAACATACATTAACATCTTAAATATGCATAGCCCACTCATTCCCACAGTACTGATCTGTAATTATAGTAAAACCACTTGGAAGAGACACAGGGTTTTGGATTCAGGACAAAACTGAAAGACGTATAAGCTGTTTGGTTAAAAACCAACCAAGGGATCATACTCAATGGGCTGACTACAAAATGCTATGTTTTGGGGAACAGAGATGATGGGAAAATAGGAGAATAGATTGTCATATTTTGAAGAAGATACAGCTGGCTAGCACATGGATCTGATCAAGTTTCACTCTGTACCTTATTTTTGACCCCATATTTGAGGATGAATCCTTAATTCTTGATTAGATGTCATTGTCCCAGGGCAGCTCGCACCTTGTCTAAAGTTCTAAGTTCCAAATGTCATGCCTATAATTTGCAAGAAATACGATAAGGCACATGCTAATCTTTTATGATAGTTAAATCTTCTCGTTTTCTGTCTTTTTGCAGGAGCTGTCAGCTAGGCTGGCATGCATCCAGGCACAGGAGAATCGCTTTCTGCTTTCCTTCAGAACTGTGGAAGAAATCTGGAAGTTTTCCACTTATTTGGCACTTGGTAAATCACATTCCACTGACAAATGACTGGCATTCCATCAGAGGGGCAGTTGTGGGAACATAAAATATATTGGCCATAGTGTTAAGGCAGAACTACAGTGCAAAACATGAACCGCTTCTAATTTTCTTTTCAAAGATTAGTTTAATATGCTACGAATGTCTCTGCTATTCAGGCACTGGAAAAACACACTGTCTGTTGTTCATATGACTCTATGGAACGGCTGACAATTCGGGTTAAACGTTGGTCTGTAATAATAATATAAATACTGCTTTGACTTTTGGGGAAAGCACATTGCAGGTTTTCATTCTATCTTTGGTATGATGAAATAGGATATGTGGGTTGCTGCCTGGAACACCTTCTCTTCACTCCTGAGTACTGGTTGAACTGTGCTCAAGTAGATGATACTGAGATTACTGTCACTGTTGATGAGGACTGCATGACCACCATGTACCTGGGTCTTCTCCTCCAGGAAGGTAAGAAACCAAGCCAGAATCCACCCCCCACCCCCACCCCCGATGCTGTAAAGTAGGTCTCCAGTATGACGAGGAAGAAGGATGTGGGAAAAAGATATGCAAGACAATATTGGATTGGAGGATAAATCTATGCATGTTCAAATATCTCTAAAACTTATTCTGGCAACAGATAGTATCTACACATTTACTTCCAATGTCAGGGGACCCTTCCAGCAGCAGAGAACTGTCTAGTACTAATCCTGAGCTATGGCTAGGCAAAGGGTGGAGGAGTTAAGTGTATATAAATAATTTTCTTCAGAAGTGTTTCTGATCCTTCCCCATTGCAGATGTCTCTGTATGTAATTTTCTACTTCTTCCCCCCCCCTTTTTTTTGCACGTTAAAAAAACATTTTAAACTATTGGGAAATATTGAACTGTCTCCATGTTAGACTACAGTGAGGAAAAATAATTTGTACCATGTGTTTAAAGTGACATTGAACTATATGAGATATTCTTGCAGAGAAGAAAGCCTCTGAGATCTTTTTGAAGAGAATCCTATGCTAGCAGATAATTTCATGGTGGCAGCACCATGACAGGAAAAACCGATTGTTTCTGTTAGACTGTCAGCATAATCTTGGTATTACATGGAAATTGAAATGACCTGGAATAGAACTTTTAGAGATCTAAAAATGTGCAAGCGTTCTTAGGAAAGTAGATACTGGCACACTATTTGCAGAAGTCATGTTGTTTCTTTCTGTTCTCCTCCTTCTGTCCATAGGCAATTTTTTTGCCAGAGCAACACTCACCGTCCTTGCAGAGGAAGAAGAAGAGGATTTAAAGCTCCTCAGGAATGAATTAGTCCATGTGAAAGACATTGGCCATGAAACTAAGTGGGAAGGGACATCATTGTTGACCGATCAGAAGGGACTGATACATGTCACAACTATAGAGCCATTGCCCCATCCCTTTTACCAGTAAGTAGATTGTCTGCTGCCATGTTTACATCCAGCTGTTGTTCTGTAAGCAGAGGATAAAGGGCCAGTGGAGCTTGGAAAATGTGGTTGGTGGGTAGAGGGTTAAAACAGCTCTTCCCTAGCTTTTCCAAGAGCATATCTATAGTTAAGCAAATAGTTGTTTTAGTCTGGCAAGATTCTGTCTGTAGATCAAGAACAATGAAGGAAATTTCTCTTAAGTAATTCCACATATCATTCTTGGTTCTTGGCAAAAGCCCTCCATGGCATAGGACTGGGTTATTTGATTTCCAGATTTCATCTCCCCATCCCAACAGATCCAACAAAATGTGCTGTGAACATGCTGAATTCACTTCTACTACTTCAAGCAAAATATCATTTTCTAACTTTGAGATTTAAATCAGTTGCTGTTTCCCATGTGTACTTAAAATCTTATTTTCAGCCTCAAATTCACTTATAACTTTTGCAATAATGTTCTCATTAGATGGTTTGCAAATTTGTTTTTTATGCAAAGATGTACGTTTGTTTAATGGGATTTTGGGGGGGCTCTTCAGTTACACACTTTGTCATATTGGCCAAATGAAGATTTAGCATGTCAGATTTAAGAGTGCTGTCAAGCTTTTTAAAACAGAAAAATATTTCCCTTTTGTGCTTTTTAAAAGTCATGTCTGTCAAAATGTAGATAGAAGCTGCATTGAAAGGTCAAATCAATATTCTTTCTACAGAACATTACCTTATGCCTAGACAATCTTCTCTAGATTTACTTTGGCTTCCCTGACTGACAATATCTCTCTGACAATTATTCCTGTCATCTCCTACCTGCCTTTTTTAAAGTGTAGTAGTTGGGGATGTAATTTTGTCTGAAAAGCATTTGCTCTAGTACCAAGCTGAAGTTCAAGATCAACTGTCTCCATCTCCAATAGCATAAGTCAGATATTTTGAAAACACTCATGAGTGATCCTAATATTTGCATCTATATTTTCGCTCCAGAATCTTGATTTGTATTATAATTGTGTAACACTCTTTTAAGACAGGCATCTAGACTATTGCTATTACTATTACCATACTTTTGGATCATGGATTCCATGAATGAATTATAAAAGAGGAGGCATGCAAGGAATCTGATGCCATAGAGTAAATCTAATAATTAATTGTCTCCTACCTTGGGCATCAGCCATATAGTTCTCTCAGAGAAGCAGTTTGTTCATAGCTGTTTGCATTTGCAGGTGGTTTTTGAAGAACTGTCCAATCAGTTGTGGCATATCCAAAGAAATCAATGGCCCTGACTCTTTGCAGATTGGTGAGTGTAATAAAACCCAAGATCAGTTTGCTTAAAAATTATCAATTGATCATCTCCCTTTTTATTTCACTTGCTGTCTGTGTCACATTCATAGGATTTTCAAGCAGCCATTTGTTCTCTCTCTCTCTCTTTCTCTCTGTATGTGTGTGTGTGTGTGTGTGTGTATGCATGTACTATATGTATTTACACACACACAAATACACAAACGTGTCTCTGTGTGTATATTTATTTAAAAGAATAAAAACAATACAAATTTTGAAAGAAAAAGAAAAGGAAAGAAAAATAAAAAATGCAAAGAAAAAATAAAGAAAGGGAAGGAAAGGAGAAGTAATGCGAGTTACAAAGAAGCTGCTTCCAATCTTCTTAACAGCAATTAAAAGTACATTGTTATTTTATGCTCTGTCTCTAAGGTTACAACACAGTTTTCTTTTTTTCATAGTCTTTTTAATCATTAAAGCTATATATCACAAGTTGTTTTTCTTCTCTTCTCAGCAAAAAGTCTATAAAGGGTTACAATATAGTCATTGTCCTTTCTCTAATCAAGCAAGTCAATTTTGCTATCTCTGCCAATTCTGTCATCTTCACCAGCCATTTTTCCCTTAAGGATATTTCATAATCTTCAAGCAGTCACCATACATAAAAGCAATCTTTCACAATTATTTTCTAATTGTCTGTCTATTAGTCTCCCAAGAAAAGCTCGGTTTTCAATTGAGTATTAATCATTAAAAGTCTTTGCACCATGTGTGTGTATTTGAACCCCAATTTTTCTGGCTTCATTTGTTCTCATTATGGGAGTGTTGCTTTTGAACAGAATGATAAAGTGATTATAACCCTGCAGGAAAGATAGACAGACAGACAGACAGAGAGAGAGAGAGAGAGAGAGACAGACAGACAGACAGACAGACAGACAATGGTGAAACACATTAAAAATGTTTTGTAGCAGACTCAGAGGAAGCCTATCAGTATGTATGTATAATTTCTATTCCTAATTTATCCAGCACAGCATGATTATTGTGGTTACCTATTTCAGAGTAGTTTAATTCATAAAAAGACAGACAAAAATACTGCCAAGCATGACATTTGTCTTATTTTAACTAACAAATGGAATCATTGGAAAACATTTTCCTTTCTATTTAATTTTCTTTAGAACATGTTAGTTTAAAGTCTAAAAATATTGAGAACAATCCCCTCCAGTTTCAAATAATTGATTTTTTTGAGGATGTTTGTGTTGATTTGGATTTATGAATGATCATCCCTGGTGCTTCTATTATTTTATAGCTTGCTGAGACAGTGGGGAATTTCATGAATGCTTGGCCAACATTTAAAGTGCTATATTTACACACACACACACAGGATTTTCCAGCAATCAGTGAAAAAGGGTTTATTTGTTCAGGATGTCACCTTGAACAGTTTTCATTTGCCTTCCTGTTTGGTTAAAAAAACCATCTGTGTGACCAATTTAGACTGAGTTGCTCTCGGTGTTAATTAATTTGCCTTGAGTGGCATCTGGAAAAAGTCGCTGATAACCTATATGAGATCAAGATACCATCCCAGGAAGATATGATATAATGGAATTTGTATTTGTATGAAGCAGGGAAGAAATAAGGGCAGTGGACTAGGTGAAAAAGTAGCAACAAAATGCATCATGTAAGGCAAATATTTTTCTCAGTGGCTGTTTCCCCTCCTACCCACAAAACCCCCAGTAGCAAATTGAAATGTCTTCAGAACTTCTTATAGGTCTGTAGAATAAATAACTGCCTGGTGTATTTTCTTTTTATTTAAAAAAAAACAGACTAGGCTTGCCTGTGAAGTCTAAGCTACTGAAGAAAACAAAAATGTCAAGGCACACAAAGAGTTTTTGTTACCAGGCTTTGTTTGCACACACACACTCTCCACTGCCTCTAGCCATGGAGTTGCTGTGAGAGAATGATACAATTGTTCAGCCTTCTGACGTGAGAATGGTTTCATTCTATTTTTCAGGCCAAGGGAGGTGCACAGCCACTGAAGATCACAGGGGGAAAAGCTGGGATGAATTGAGTTACTGCAAAGGGGATATCCTAGAGGTGATCGGCTTCTTCATTACGGGTCTCCGTTGGTTTATAGGGAAATCCACAACTAGTGGGATGATCGGCTTTGTCCAAACCAAATCAGTGCAGCTTGAGAGTTATGAATCAATGTAAGTATGACATGTATGTGTTTATATAAAAATAGAAAACATAGGTAGAAACCCAAGGCAGAACGCATGACTTTCAAATCATCTAGTTGAAACATGGCATGATCCAAACTTTTTATATTTAAGATGAGAAAAAGCATGCAAAGAAATTAAATATTTACTTGTTCAAACCACATGATAAGAATTAAAAAAACAAAACAAAAACCAGAAGGTTTCACCTGCCCTCAATTTTTTTCTTGACTATTTGTGGCTGAGATAGTTAGAGGGACACTGAGTTCTCTTTCTCCGTGGATTGTAAGTTTTCTCTGCTCCCAAAGCTGTATGGCATCAAGCGATCAGGATTTATTATTTGAGTTTTGTGGGCTTTTTCATTTTTACTGAATCTTCTCACCGGCTCGAAATGGACTCATCCTTCCAAGGTCAGTAAAATGAGGACCCAGATTGTTGGGGGCAATATGCTGACTCAGTAAACCGCTTAGCGAGGGCTGTAAAACACTATGGAGTTGGGTTTAAATGTGCTATCTTAAGCATTATAGCCATTTTCACCAACCTTATTAAACACTCCATTAGAATATTTTATTAAAATTTTATTAAAACATATGCCCTTTTTCTCTCAGTTGTTCTTACATCAGCTATAAATAAGCTTGTCTGAGGTTGTGATAAATGTTACCTATGATATAATAAGCATAAATATTCTGGTAAACATTAGCACAATATTAGAAGAGGTTTCAGTTTTCATGTACAGGAATTACACACTGTGTTTATTTTATCATTCTTTGTTGAAGAAGTCCCAGGTGGCTAGATTCATATCTTGAGATATTATCCAAACACTGTTTTACAGACAAATATAGCTAAGTGAACATGTGCTAAGCCAGAATTAACAATGCGTAAATCCTACAGAACTTTATTTTAGGAATCCTCAAGTAATAGATTAAAAAACCCCATCATGTATGCAAAAAATTGTGTCATTTAATTTCAATAGGCGCTGTGCGTGACTTACACAAACCGATAAACCTGAAGATTCACCAGGAAAAACTGACACAGCAATGTTGTTGTACATTAGTGCAGTTTTAAGAGTAGAAACCAACTCTTAGCTAATAATTAATAGCACTTAGCACTTAGACTTATATACCACTTCACAATGTTTTACAGCCCACTCTAAAAGATTTACAGAGTCAGCATATTGCTACCAACAATCTGGGTCCTCATTTTACTGACCTTGAAAGTATAGAAGGCTGAGTCAACTTTGAGCTGGTCAGAATCGAAATGCTTCCTACAGTGAAGTTCATTCCATTAATTTGGGATAATTTGTCTTTTGCCCAAAGGTTTATAACTTTTTAATAGCTTTGGGATATGTGTTGTTTTTTTTTTCAGAACATTGGTATAGATTTCTTTTGGCAGAGCTTTCTACAGAGCTCTGACAGAGGTAAATAGCTACTGGCCAGGCCAAGATAGGTCAAGGAGTAATTTGGATACTTGGATACAAGATGTAGAATATGGAAATCATTGCATGGAGACTGAAGGAAATCTGTTGTGGGATTGTGGTTCCTGATAGGTAGGCAGAAAAAAGCAAAAGAAGCCAGGAAATCTATCTCAACCTTTCAATTGAGACAACTATAATACAATATTTTTAGAAAAATGACTAGGGTTTTATTCAGTGAAGTTTATTGCCAGGATGTTGCCTGAGCATATATGACAAGCCTCTTTTGAAAATATATTTTTGATTGTTATGTAAAATTCTAAATAGAATTTAATTTGACCACAATGGGACACCAGAATAAAACTGGCAAGCAAAAGAGTAGAGCGGGAAATGTATTTTTGAGCTCTTATTAAAATGTATTTTAATAAGAGTTCAACTAGTAAAGGCTTCATTAATAGTTCAATACCTCAAAGCATTTTATTTAACAATAAATACAAAATTAGTTTTCCATTGCCTTTTTTAAGACTCTTTTTTATTTCTTTGTTTATGTTCTAGTTTAGATTACAACCACAGTATTCCTTGGTTGAGCCAGGGCTAGAAACTGGAAGACCATGAGATTTAGTTCTCCTTTAGACATGAAGCCAGCTAGTCAGCCTTGGGCCAGTCATTCTCTCACAGCTTTAGGAAGGCAGCAATGGCAAACCACTTCCAAAAAAAAAAAAATCCTATCAAGAAAACAGCAGGGATTAGTCCAGTCAGTCACCAGGACTCGACAATGACAGGAAGGCAAAAATAAAATAAACAAAATATACCTGGTTCTCTCTAATCCAAGTGCTAAGTCTTGACTTTACTTACTTGATATACTTGATTTTCCAAGATCAGTTTCAGTTGATCATGTGCCCATTCAATAGTTACCCTTCCCCCTGTTCTGTTAAAATTTCAAATATAGTTCTTTGTCCAGGCGATGGAAAACAAGCAGATGGGGAGAGAGATGGGAAGCTTTTATCTAAAGTAAGGTAAGGACTTATAAGCAATTCAGAATGCAAATCAATAACGACGCTGAGCTAAAGGACGCTCTTCCTCAGTTATTCTGCATCAATGTTAAAATAATTCAGATAAATGCAGTTATATTTAGTTTTGCCATTCTATTTTACCTGAAGGGAGAGGATATGCCTTTCATGTGACCATTGTAGAATTCTTGGAACGTTACTCCTAGGGAGGACACACCAAGAGTCTTAAGAGATATCTATGAGTAGAATTTGATTACAGGAGCCCTTTTATAGTATAGATTTCTCGAATTACACCCTTTCGTCGAATAAATTGGCTCTGCTTCCACTTTTGCCCTAGCTTATGTAGTGCACCAGGATATTGTGAGAGATTGTTTATCTGCAGCATATTCTTTCCTCTCTTCTCTCCCTATAACTTCGAAGTTACTTTTAAAACAGATTAAATTAAAACAAGTAAAAGTAGGCAAAAAACAAGGGAAAGTAGGCCTTAACACTAATAGGATAGATTTTCAATAGACCAGAGTCATGCTTCGTGCTAAGGCCAGGGTTCTTTAATAATATTTATTGAGTAGATATTATGAGTAACCAAGTACAAATTTATGTTTGAGTTAATGTCTTCTTGTCTGTAAAAAAAACCGTGTAGTTGCATGGAATTGTGGTGGCCACAAGGTGTCGGTATTGTCTTCCACAAGATTGTAACTTTGCTAATGCCTTGAATCTTGTTTTGGTGAGCCCAGACTTATATATCTTCCAATGAGATTTACTTCCAGATAAGTGGACATTGAATTGCATGCTAAATGATTGAAAGCAGAAACTTACATTTTACATAAAATATCTAGGTATAATCAGTGTTAATAGGTATAATCATTGTTAACAATATTTGAAGAATGCTAACAGTATATGATGAATCATATATATATAATTCCTTTAATAGCAAAGGAATTTTAACATTTATATATAAAACTAAACATGACAAGTTTTCTTTAAAATATTAAATCTGGGAGGATATTTTTGGATTTGATGAATGCCACTGGAGCTTTTTGTGCCTTTACATTCATTTTAGTGTATCATCCAAAAGGAAAATAGTTCACAGGTCTGATAAACTGGTCTATTTAGTTGAACCTTCTTTAGAGTGTTTTTGTGCTGCAATAATTCACAAAGGGAGAATGATGTATGACATGACATGATTGTACAAAGGCTACTACTCAGGACTTGGGTCACATCACCTGATGCAAGTATATAAATTGTGCCAAGGTTGCCACCTCTAAACACTTTTGTGTTGGTGGAATTGTATGAAAATTGGCACTTATTGTATCAGTAATATCAATCTTCAATTATTCAGTCTTTTTTGTTGAAGATATGGAGAATTCACCAACCAGTACTCCATAAAAGAACCTTTTATTAATTTATTGTTTATATTTTCCTGTTCTATACATTAATATAATATAAGAAATCAGTCCAATTCCTGTTATTGCAGAAATCTAGAAAACTAAACAAAAACATAAAATATGTTTTTATGCATTCTGTAGTTTTGAAAAATGGGAGAAAATCTCTGAGAAAGTGACACAACGGCAAACACCTTTGAGTAAAAAAATATATTCAAACCAATCATCTATATTAACAATAAGTTTTCTAATCAATACTTTCAGCTGTATAAATGTCATTCTGAACAGCTAAGTGGAATAATAGGCACAATACTTGACTCTCTCCCTGTATATTTCCAATATATTTTTTCCTTTGGTTGCTTTTGTTACGACTTCATTGCCAGCATCACTACCAGAGAAGGTACTTAACTATTGACACCTCCTTGCCTCCTTGCCCTAGGAAGAGGGGGGGGGGGAAAGGACTTCGAACTTCAGGAGAAGGCATAGCTGAGATGTTTGCAAGGACCTTTTTAAAAACATAATTTGGGATGTCAATCAAGTACCTTGCTTCCTATACATTTCCCATATTCAGTGTACTCATTTATTATTCCACAACTTTTTTTCAGCAATGACCCTATGGGGCTGGTTACATTGAACATCATTAAATGGTGCAAGATCATTCCTTAATTTTAGGGATGAGTGGGGATTTGTGCTTGGATTTTTCTAGTCTGATACTAGATTGAAGGATCTGGATTTTACTTTCTGCATTTTACAGCAGGAACAAGGTAAGTGATGAGGGTGGACGTTCCTTCTCCAAGCTTGTGGGTTAGTTTCCAAATGTTTTGTTACTAGGGTAGGTAATATCTTCAGTGAAGTTTTAGGGGATGTCAGTGTCAAAACGTTTGGAAACCAACCTACAAGCTCAGAGAATGAACCTCCATCCTCAATCCTCCACTTGAGCTACAGATATTCACCACCATCATAAGAGTTAAGTGGGCTCTGGCAACATAAAAGATATTCAGTACTGACTGACCATTCTCTGCCTTTTCATTCCTAACACAGGAGAAAGAGCCCAGTGTTTTTTAGTGAAGAAGAAATTTCTGCCTTCCTCCAGGCTCCATGTAATGGCAATGAGGTATATTACAGTAACCTTCTTAATGAATGGGCACAGACAGACATCACCTCTGTATATAGACTTGGTATGTCTCCATATCACTGGATATTGTTCTTTCTAATGTCTATTTCTTCCCAAATTTTCTGCTGCTCCCTATCTTTATACTATTCACCTTCTGATAGAATATTATCTTCGAAAAATACTCAGGAGATAGTTCAATGTCGTATTGATGATCTCTGTGTGCTTTAGTTCTTAGATGACATAATAGCAGGTGGATAAGATTTAATAAGGAAGATATAACCAAGGCCATCAGCCTTGTATACATATTACACTAAGCTCTCCTTATCCAGGTATGATCAGAGTACCATATATGCCCATGTACCTGATAATACCTACTTGCTCATCAGGTTTTAGCCCCACACCCTTAAATTTTATTTATCACCTGTTAATCTGTGTTAACAGTTATATAGGCATTTCTTCTCCTTTGCTTTTTTGTGCTTTGAAGATGCTGCCATTTTTAATTCAAATTGAAGGTTTGCAGAACAAATCTGCTGGCACCATATTTCCAACAGCATTTGCTCACTTCATTGCCTTTGCATCATATTTTAGTAATTCTCATAATATTTCAAACTTTTTCATTATTATTAATTACTTTAGCAATATTTTTTTAAAAAAAATTAAGATATGTACATTTTTAGACATAAGGCTAGTGCACCCTTGATAGACTACATATAGTGTAAAACATAACTTTTATATGCAATAGGAAAGCAAAACAATTGTGTGGTTAATTTCATTGCAATATTCACTTTATTGCAGTAATCTGGAAATAGAATAGAATAGAATAGAATAGAATACTTTATTGGCCAAGTGTGATTGGACACACAAGGAATTTGTCTTGATGTAAATACTCTCAGTATACATAAAGAAAAGGTACATTCGTCAAGAATCAAGAATCATAACGTACAACACTTAATGATAGTCATAGGGTACAATCAACAAACAAATAATGCTAGGAAACAGTCAAGTGGGAGGGGATGGGTGATAAGGAGTGGTGAGAAGATTAACAGTAATTGTAGTGTACACTTTGTAAATAGTTGAACAGTATTGAGGGAATTATTTGTTTAGCAGAGTGATGGCTTTCGGGGTAAAACTGTTCTTGTGTCTAGTTGTTCCGGTGTGCAGTGCTCTATAGTGTTGTTTTGAGGGATGGAGTTGAAACAGTTTATGTCCGGGATGTGAGGGGTCTGTAAATATTTTCACAGCTCTCTTTTTGACTCATGCAGTATACAGGTCCTCAATTGAAGGCAGGTGGGTAGTAATTGTTTTTTCTGCAGTCCTAATTATCCTCTGAAGTCTGTGTCTGTCCTGTTGGGTTGCAGAACCAAACCAGACAGTTATAGAGGTGCAGATGATAGACTCAATAATTCCTCTGTAGAACTGTATCAGTAGCTCCTTGGGCAGTTTGAGCTTTCTGAGTTGGCGCAGAAAGAACATTCTTTGTTGTGCTTTTTTGATGATGTTTTTGATGTTAGGTGTCCATTTTAGGTCATGTGATATAGTAGAACCTAGAAATTTGAAGGTCTCTACTGTTGATACTGTGTTGTCTAGTATTGTAAGAGGTGGTAGTATAGGAGGGTTTCTTCTAAAGTCTACTACCATTTCTACGGTTTTGAGTGTGTTCAGTTCCAGATTGTTCCGCCTGTGCTCTGTTACATCAAAGGGTAGTTGAACAATAGGATTGAATAGAATTTTCTGTTCAGAAATAATCTAGTTCAGAATTTACAGTATACTCTCCCTTCATTGTAGTACAGTCATACAGCTTTATAATCCTTACACTCATTGTATTCTCTCCATGTAGCATTATCTAGATTAGATGGCTTACAAGGTCCCTTCCAACTCTATTAATCTCCTAGGATAAGATTGGGCTTCATTTTTTCTTGTGTACACATTGAATGAAGCAACTTAAGTTTGCTATAATGCCAAGTTTGAAGTTTGACCTTTCACCTTGTAGTGGGTTCCTTTGTATATTTCTCTCCTTTTTCTTGATTACACAGATGGTTTTGAACCTATTGCAATGTACCCCAAAAGACCATCAGGTGAGTATGATTGAAAGGGAAAATGGGATTTCCCCCCCCCCCCCCCCCCCAAAAAGTATCACAATAAAAGGAATCATATCTTTGTGCTTTATTGATCATTTTCAGATGCTGCTGTACATGGACATAAAAATGGTTGGATGTTTGAAAATTGGGGGAAGCAATCTTATAACAGTTTACTTACTCAAACTGATTCTGAGAAGTCAACTCCAGTGGTTGAATCCTCACCTTCCACCCTGGAACACTTACTTTTGCAAGAGCCAGATGACCTTGATGACCCCAAGTTCTTTATTGATCTAAATGCTGGGCATATGGAAGACTGTGATGTGTTTGACCCTATACTGACTTTCCTCAATCAAGATAGCTATGTGCCTCATTTCCAAAGTCTGTATGACCTCTCTTTTTCCTTCCTCAGTTCTACCTTCTATGGTTTCACCAGTGAAGAGGAGTTAGTCATATATCTGGAAACATCTAGGAACTGGGCTAAGAGGGGCCACCTTGCTTGGGCTCACATTCGGATATGCTACCTTTTGGGCCGCCTCTGTGTCAGGAAGGCCAAGTTCTCCCAAGCGCGAGTCTACTTCGAGGAAGCCATGAATGCTATGGACAAGGGGTTCGAAGATCTACCTCTATTTGCATCATTGCATACAAACCTTGCTGCCATTTATTTAAAGCAAAAGATGAAGCAGAAGTTCTTATCCGTAATTGGAAAAGGGGCGACACTTTTGGCCTGCTTGTCTGGACACTGCTTCAGTTCTGAGACTGAACTAGAAGTTGTGATGTACATCTTGAGAGAAGCCATTGCTGTAGGCAACACAACAATGGAGATTAGATCCTGCTTCCTCATTGTCAGGCTCTTCTTGCAGCTGGGCAAATATGATGAGGTTCTTCCTTTTGTAGAACGCTTGCAGTTTCTGAATGCACAACTCACCAGCCAGGTTACTGGTAAACATCCTTTAGATACAATGCCTTTTCTTGCCTATCTGTATGAAAAAAAGTATGTGCCCCATGTAGCTTTAGCGGCTGCAAGGATGTTCTCCCCTAGCAATATAAAAGGTGGCTTCACACCAATTTGGAGAGCTGGATTCATCCTTGCAAACACCTCTAAACTCTTGAAGATCCCAGAGAAAAGCCACAATGGCATCTCAGCATTGGCTTGCTTCTATCTGCACTGCGGGTTGTCCTTCTCCCACGAAGCTGGGACTGTATCAACTGAAAAAGCCTTGTGTGAACTTTTATCCAAATTGTACCTCAAATACGGCATGCTAGAAAAGGCCGTGCATTACTCCAACCAAGCTGTGGCCCTGGGTAAAATGATGGGTGAAGAAGAAGCATTTGAGGCATCCCTTTCTTTGGGGTGGCTCTTTACTTTGAACAATCAACCAGACAAGACCTCAGAGATCATGCAATACCTCCTCTGTTCTCTGCGGCAGACAGATAGTGTCACACAAGATGGGGTGGTTCACAATCTTTTAGCCATTGCCCTTAAAAGAGAAGGGCAGGTGCAAAAGGCAGCAGAGAATTACTTCTGGGCCTTGAAGAAAGCCCAGGAAAATGGGAATCAGCGGAATCAAGCCATTGCCTTAGCCAACTTTGGTTGCCTAATCACATCTTTGGGGGCTTATTATTTAGGAGAATACTATTTTCTCCAGGCCATTCAGTTGTACTTTGAACTCCAGGATGGTGATGATACACACATGGAACTGGTGCACATTTTGTTATGGTTGGCTCAGTCCAAGCTAGAGAGGTGTAAGGCAGAAGAAAGCATCATCTTTTACGAGTTGGCCTTGGCCATTGCCTTGAAGACTCAAAATGTGATAAGTGAGTACTTATTCTTAGGGGCAGTTGTTCAAGTCAAGGTTCAAGTCAAGGTTTTTTTTTTAAAAAAATAATCTCTATCTTACCTGATGCTATGTAGGTCAACTTCATGTCACTGAGTCCCTCTGCCATTTCTATAGTAAAGTGCATCCTGATACCAGAGCCTGCATTATATACCAAGAGCACCACGTTCTCTTAGCTCGGCAACTCCAGGACAAAGAAAAAGAAGGTTACCTTCTACAGGACCTTAGCCAACTCTACCAAAGTTTACATACACCCAGGTGAGTCAGCACTCAGGTTCTCTATTTAATGATGAAATAATGATTAGGACTCAAAGTGTTACAATATTTTGAACAGTGTTTTGGTTACATTGGATTTTGTCATTCAAAATCAATTCCTTTTTATCATTTTTAAATGAAAAACAATAATATTTACAGCATGAAATTCTAGAATATTGATGTCTTTAAGCCCAAGGGTCATGCGTTCCACTGTTTATAATCCATTGAACACTAGATCATAAAGCAAAAAATACCATCTTTTCAAAAAGATTCATTAGTTTTTCATATATTTTCTGCCATTGACTTTAATGTCAGATGCTTTGAACATTTTGGAAAGAAGGGGAAAAAATCTTAAAACAATAAATAATACTAATTTGATATTATTAGTTTATATGTATCATTTAGGAAGAATGAAATATTCCCCCATGTTTAGTTGTCTTGGTCTCTGAGAAAAGTGGCACAGATTAATATCTGTGACACTTTAAAACAGAGCACGTTTTCTCTTGGTAGACCAGAAGTCATTTCATCAGTCGTATAATATGTTCACTTGTCAGATAAATACAGATGAGAGAGAGAGATTTTGAATATAAAGAAAGAGGCAAAAAGAAAGTTTGTACACAGATTTCTTTGCTTTTAAAAAAGATATAGAAACAATTCTGCATTCAGATGCAGAAAGTCAATATATGTACTGCAAATTGAATTCAAAGCTCCTTTGTTAACAAGTAATAGTTAACACTTATGAAGTATTAATATGCCTTGTTACAAGTGGCTGAAAGAAAACACTGGACCCACATACAATAACCAGGATCCAAAAAGAAGTGTGTGCATGCACAGGAGAAAATCTGTATCAGTCACCAGAAATTTCAAGCTAGGTTTGTCGTAGTGGTTCACTTGCTTCAAGTTCTCACCTTTTCCTTTGTTTTTTTTTTCTTTTAATAAATAATTTGTTTGAAACATTTAAAGAACAGAATAAGTAGCTACATAAGTTTAAAAAAAGCAGAAAAAGATACAGGGAATAAATAAATATCAGCAAAGAAAGATGGATAATTATCATAAAATTTAAAATGTGTTAACTCAATATTTCATTAATTTGTTAATTAAATGTATTGACTTAGATTCCATATATTATCTTAAGAAAACACATTAAAATCTCTATAACATTCTGAGATCAATATTGATAACATAGTTATTTGTCATTGTTCTAAAAATAAATGGACATAATTATATAAAAGAAAGAAAAGAGCAAAGGGGGAAAAAAAGAAAAGAATTAAAAAATAAATAAAAAGGAAAAAAATCAATAAAAACAATATTAAACTCTAATCTCCCTCCCATTGTTTCTGTCTGGCAATTGCATCCATGTACTTTATGAGCCCTCCAAGGTAGACCAGTCTTGGAAACCTGAGTTATATATACTAATACCACTTTTATTACAAATTTATAATAACAGAATCTTGCATGTCTGAATGTATTTCCCCTCTCCTTCAGTTTATCTTCCTGAGAACAAGGAATTGTTGTAGAATACCTTATGCCACCAGACTTGAAATTCTAGAACTAGAAAACCTTGAATTACGCCGTCTTCGGTCTGACTTAAGCATGGTATATAAAATCATACATTGCAATGTCCTACCTGTCTATGAATACTTCAGCTTCAACCATAACAACACAAGAGCACACAATAGATACAAACTCAAAGTTAACCGCACCAAACTTGATTGCAGGAAATACGACTTCAGCAATAGAGTGGTCAATGTCTGGAATACTCTACCCGACTCTGTAGTTTCTTCCCCAAACCCCAAAAACTTTAACCTTAGACTGTCTACTATTGACCTCACCCCTTTCCTAAGAGGTCTGTAGGGGGCGTGCATAAGCGCACCAACGTGCCTACCGTCCCTGTCCTATTGTTTCTCTTATTCTTCTTTTATTTTTCTTATATGTACCCATTTCATGTATTCACAACTATGTATACATTTATACTTATTATCTTGTAAACAATTGGCAAATCAAATAAATAAATAAATAAATAAATAAATAAATAAATAAATAAATAAGACTTCTATCTGAAATGCTTACTCCGATTACAGACTGCTCAGAACCAGATTTCTTCAGAGCAATGAAGTTATTCTTCTTTCTCAAAGTTATTCCTTTCCCCCATTACTTACTTATAGATATCGAAGTGGTTTCTAATTACCCGCTTCAAAGACAGATTTCCTCTTTTCTCAAAGCAGTGGCTTCTTCACAACTAGGCAATGTTGACATAACTACAAAAGGGGAGAGGGGCATTAGAAATCTTACATTTGCAGGAAGTCAGAGGCAAGGTTTTAAGCCTATCCCATTCTGGATAGCCTGGTGATAGAATGAGAGGAGAGCAATCTTAATGAATTCACTAGAATAAAAGATTACACATTGGTAACATAGCCATTATTGACTTTGGACACAAACAGCATATTGGTTTCAGAGATGGAGGTATTCCATGATCTAAAGATGTGTATACCACAGTGTTTCTTAGCCTTAATACCTTTAAGAGGTGTGGACTTCAACTCCCAGAATTCTCCAGCTGGTTGGGGAATTCTGAGAGTTGAAGTCCGCACATCTTAAAGGTACCAAGGTTAAGAAATGCTGGTCTATCTTCTTGATCTCTGAAGATTGTCACTGATTCAGCTGCAATGCTGTCTGGCAGTTGCCCTGTAATCTAGAGCCTAACCTTTGAGGAAAGACATCTAAAAGCAGAAAGATAGCACTGCCTATATCCCTCAACCAAGGCAACAGTGAGAATTCTCTAGCTTTAAAGACTTAATGGGTCACATAAAGAAGCATAAAGAAGTCAGTGGCATATGATCTTGCCCCTTAAATGAATGCTTGTGCTATCCTGAATATATGCTACTCAAGAGTTGGTATGAATGGAAGACAATAAAAATGATACTGCCTGTAATTTTTTGAGGAAGAGGAAAATGAATATGGCAAAGAAACTAAAGAGAATGGATTGTTTTTTACCTGGTTCTCACCTTTCTTCAAGATGTTGTGCCTGAAGAAAGCAGTTTGCTGTTATATCTACTTGGGCTTTCTGTTGCTATCCAAGATCTTGGAAACTGTCTCTTCATAACATGATTTTTAAACTGTATAATAAAAAAATAACCTTTTTTTCCTTATTATTTTTAAATCTCTTGAATGCATTTCTTGCAGCTTTATTATTTAATGTTAATTTTTGGTGGCGTGGTGGGATTCACAATGGAATGGATTTTATATATACAGCAATAATAACTTAGATTTAGCTATGATCTCCTTTCAATTATTTCTTATTATGTCCTCTTGCTACAGATCCTGTCCTCTTCCTTCATGTGTGTTTTTCATACTGTAGATTATATGACTTCTTTTTTTAGGGGGTACCATTCAACAATTAACATTAATAGTTGGTAGTAGTATTAATAATAGAAATAAGAAGCAGTATTAGGAATATGCAAGTAGGCATGACTTCCAGTAACAGATTGTGCTATACCAATTCCTGTTTAAGGAATTATCACACTCCAGAAATCATATGAGTATAATATCATATGACATCATGTTAAATGATATCATATCATATGATATTTACAGTATATCACATTAGGATAAATGATTAGCAGCTTGTGATATAGTGATTATTCTTTTGTTAGTGATTTAGGCAGTTATCTATCTTTTCATCTGTAGTGAATTTTAAGGAACCTCAGGGCCAGCTAATGTTCTGTTGAAATCTTCCTTCCCTCACTTCCTCCTTCCTTCCTTCCTTCCTTCCTTCCTTCCTTCCTTCCTTCCTTCC